CCTGATGTTCGAGAACGTGGACCTCTTTATTCTCGTCAGCAGCAGGCTGCTGAGTGACTGACAGATTGGCTGGACGGAGAAACAAGTGGATTTCAAATCACTCTTGCAGCAGCCGAGCTGAAAAAAGAATGAGAGGGAGACAGAGACAGGGACTGAAGGTCTGAAGAGAGTAAGAGAGTGAAGGAGGGACGTGAGGAGCGGATAGAAGCTGTTGGCTGTCAGCGGCGGAAAAAGGAAAAGAAGCTGCTATGGCTCATTGTCTTTCTGCTCCTTTTGGCTGCTGTTATCTGCTCTGCTCTGGCATGCTCTCTCACTCTCTCTGCTTTCTGTCTCTCTCTCTCACTCTCTCTGCTTTCTCTCACTCTCTCTCTCACTCTCTCTCTCCCTCTCTTTTCTCCATCTCTTTCTCCTCTCTCCCTCTGTCTTTCTTTCTCTGTCTCTCCTCCTCACTGCATTGTAGAGGAGAGGTTCAGGTCCTGAAGGGTTTGGGGGGGTGTTAAAGGGGCATTTTTCCAGAGAAATGACTGGACTGCCATAAGGCTAGATTTGGAAACATGTCTGTGGGTGAGGATGTTCTCTTTGGCAAATTTCAGCTGTTTTTTTGTCCGGGCAAATCCTAAATGGTTCCTGGCTTATCTCCGCTACTTAGTGCAAAACAACATACTCATCTATTTTTACCCTGCTGTTTCGTCTTGTCTTTTTTCTCCCTTCCATCTCTCTCTCTCTTTCTCTGGTTAAAAGATGTGAGTCACCTTTGAAACAGCCAGAAACAGGCCTCTTGTGTTTTGACACAATTTGCTATAGTGCCCCTGAAACATTTCATCATCTGCTATTCGACTTTCTCAGGTACTTTATGATTAACACCATTAGATGAAGTGTAAGTGCAGTGTGAAGTCTAATGTATATAGTAACGAACAACTCCTGTAAGGAGATGTCTCTGATATAGCCAGAGGATAATATATACCCCCCTCCCTTTTTGCATACACATAGCTGAAGCACTAGTGAAGATTTACTGTTGTAGCAGTATTCTCTATGCACTCATATCCTGTTTAATAAGCACGCATGTTCTCTTATGGTGCTGTTTTTTGCCTGTATTGCCTGTACTGATGATACATTTTACAGGAAATACATGGTAGGAGTGACTCAAATATTTATAAGCTTGAATGATAAAAAACATTAGATTTTTCTGTGGGTTAGCAAAATCTTGGCTAAGCATTTTTCAGATCAGATTTGGAGGGAGCCATGTGAAAAAGAAGGTTTTCAGAAGGTTTTCACAGATGTGTAAGCAAGACACTTTTTGTATCATCTTGCAGTGTGGTGAGAAGCTTGGAGCCAGAATACCTCAGACCTTAATTGGGGAATTCCACCAATTTGTCTAAATTTCTAAATAACTAAACCATTAAGATGTTAACAAAGTGATTCAGAATGAAATGGTGAAATGGTTGAAATGGTGCGTAGTAGAGAAACTTACCAAACTTTCCAGGGTTTTAGACCAAAACCTCATCCAAAGTATCATAAAACAATGTCTTAAACATTATACAGTGTATTTGTTACCACTTCTTGTCGTAACTTTCTATGAGGTGGCTTTAATAGGCATTAACAACTTAGGACAACTTATCACCACTGCTGTGAATAATTCTGACTCAGTTTCTCTAGAATGGAGCATTTCCCCTCAAACCACTCTGAATGGCTGCGTTTGCATCTTAATAATTTCATTATGCAGAAATTGAGAAACATTGGTGGAGTTCCCTTTTACATTAAAGAAATATAGCATAAATCAGCTGTTCCTTTCATCCTTTTCAGGATCACTGTCAATTAACACAGAGCTTTGATCCCACACTGCTCTGAATGTTTTATTATGCTGAGGGAAAAATACTTAATTCTGCCTTTTAATTCAGTCTTCGAGGTTAAGTTACATAATCTCTAAATGCTGTCATTTTGTCTGTTTTGAAATAAAAAAAAGCTCCAACAAAGGCAAAATTTTGAAGATGTTTTTCATACAGTACCATTTTGAGCAAGCAAATAAATTCATAGAAAACACTTAAGGCTTTAGACACCTCTTACTTTTACCTGATTCAGCAAATGTTGAAAACATCTAAATTAAGCTTTTAATGATTCAGTTCTGGTCTGAATGTGTGAACACACTTTTTCGAAAACTGTGACACTGCATCCAACAACGACAGAGGCTGAGACAGCACTGCAGATGTGCAGCTCTGGCAGTCTTATCGCTGCTTCTGTTTGATGCTTTTGATGCATTATTTTAACTTCATCCAGTGTAGGCCTCTTGGCATCACAGTGGCTAGAGCATGTGGTTTAATGTCTTTTTATGGTAGCCATAAAATGTAATTTCTGAAGACATCCCTCAATAGACTTTTTTTCTTCAATAATGTTGGCAGAATATATTTCAATAAAAATATGTATGATTTACAAAACCGAAGTAAACAGGATTTGTATTCATATATGAATAAGCAAGTCAACATTTCTTAAAGAGTTTTCTTTTTTTTCATTATGACATGATTTTTAACATGAAGAAAGCTGCAGTTGTGCTCTCCAGTCTCGGCATGGCTGTTTTTGCAAAGAAGTGTGAGTGATTTTCACTGCAGGGGGTTCTCACCCCTCTCCTCTCGCCACTCATTGCTCAATAGCAGCTTAACACACAATGCAATGTATTAACCTCTTTACGCAGAGGGTAAAAACACAGAGAGCCAACAGCTTCCTAGTTAATCTGATAACAGAGTTACTAGGATTAATACTAAATTTGATTATATTAATTAAAATTGTCCATGTCCATTTTCATTTTGCTGGCAGCTTGGCCACTAGGGGGCCTGTGGAAAGAGGCTACTAAGACAAAGATTTCGTTTTAATGTGTAGACGCCAGTGTCTACAGCTCTAAGGGTCTGTGTGAAGAGGCTACAGAAAATGTATAATATGTGTTTTAAGCTATATAAGCCCTTAAATATCTCTAGGAGAAGGGAGCAGTTCTTTTTCTAATTGTTGTGTTTGTTGTTCTTATTTCATTAGGCTATTAGAATTTGGGACTAAGAACAATTAGAATAAAAAAAAAACATATGAAAAGCCTTAGCTCTTTTGACCTTTAGCATCATCTCTCTTCTTTAGGCAACTGTGTGAAAAGGTGTCCCACTGATAAGGTGTCTCAGAGCCCAGTGACCTTGGAGAATGTTCCTTTTCAACAGATGCCATTTAGTTGTGGCCATGAGAGCAGGCTAACTGCAGCTACAGTGAATATATATGAGAGTTTATTCTCTTCTAGTGGCCCAGGGTGATAAAGTGGAGCAAAGGGCTTCCATGAGTGGGCTGTGATTGTGGGTTTGGAGATTTGTGGACTTAAGCTAAGTTATCTGTCCAGTAGTGAATGATGAGAGGAGGCAGCAGATGAGTAAAACTGAGGGAAAGCTATGGGGCAGATCATGGTCTAAATTAGGTCTCTCAAATTCAGCTTACCTGGGAGCCACTAGCCAGGTGGTCTTTTCCAAGGGAGGCTTATTGAAAAATTACTGGTGAAAAAGGTGTTTTTTTCAGCTATGAATTTGAACTACATATAGTACACAGTCATTTAAGGACATCTTGAGCAATGTTTATTAGCGATTTTTCTGTCACCTCAAACCAGTCATTAACAGCTCTGATGAATATAGCTGAGCAGAGCATTTTCATTAACGTCTGTGCTTTCCTCAAATGCCAGAGAACAGATACTGATTTCTCTCATTTTAATGCACAGCTTATTATAAATGTCAAATTACTGATCACAGTAAACTCACTAATAGCCAGCCTACACTGTTGGCTCACAATCTTGATCTTTGCTGCCTCATGGACAGACATCTTTGAACCTGCAGTGTCAGATGCAGAATCAGCAAAAATGCCTGACCTGCTGCCCCTCGCCACAACATCTCAAGTTTTGACCACTTAAAATACCGAGCCTGTGGCCCAAGTAACCATTTACCTTGGAGATCTTTTCTTTCATCTAATTGCACCAAACCAGATTTTGGTTGGTTCGGAATTCATTAACAGTAACCGCTCCAATATCTAATGCAATGGCAATGTGATTAGTAATGTAGCATATTTTAATTAACATTTCCTTTTTCAAAGCAGCATCTTACAGATTTTTTGGTACTGAAGCTTGCTCCTTAAGTGTAAATACAGTGTATATATTAAACGTTTCTATAATTTTATAATAGCACATTTTTATCCGTCTATCCTGGTTAGAAGCCTTGCCCTGCTATATTTGTAACAGCGGTGCTCATTTCTTGTTGCTGTTCTGCAACTCTTTTCTGCAAAAAAACTGAAATTGATTTGCTGGTCAGATTTATAAGGATATATTGTAAACATGAAATTGCAAATTGTATATGCTCTTGAGTGAGATATGGACCACAGGCAAGTAGCTTGAGACCTCTGGTTTAAATTAATGTTTGTGTTCAGCTGTTTTATGGGCAATTTTCTTCTGCTGCCTTTGCTAATCCTTTTTTCCATTTTGTGGGCTGCTGTCAGCATGGATGCCTGACATTGGGCTACAGTTCTATAATAAACAACTACCTCCTTTTAACAGCTATCACACTAAATCAAAACAGCAATGTGTTAATAGAAAATACAGGATTAAAAGCAATTACTAAAAGGAAAGCCAGCTTTTGTGCAGAGGTGAGAAGAAATATTTCTGAAGGGAGCGACTGATGATGAATGTTGCGAAATCTAGCCACCTGTCAAGTTGTGTTAATTGCCAGGTCTAACATGTCAAACCTTATGCGTTTGCTCAAAGCAGTTAAAATGCGCCACATAAGGCTTTACCCCTTGCTTATCAGGATTTAGCAATACAAATACTACTTTGAAGCATCTGTTCCTGCCCATTTTGTCAGTAAGTAGTCAAAAAAGAACACACATGTCACTGCAGTAAACTGTCTTACTACTTATTAGCAAAGGCCTAATTTGTGTATCTGTTCATCTTGATCTTGTTTTAGCATTAACATTAGCTAACTGTCTCCGTGCTTTAGATCACTCTCTGGCCGTATTGTTGGTGGTGTCTGGTGGTTCTTCACCCTCATCATCATCTCCTCCTACACGGCCAACTTAGCTGCCTTCCTCACTGTGGAGAGAATGGTGTCTCCTATAGAGAGTGCTGAAGACCTGGCCAAGCAGACTGAGATCGCCTATGGGACTTTGGATGGAGGATCCACCAAAGACTTCTTCAGGGTGAGAAATGAATTCACTCATATTCCAATAAAAAAGGAATAATTCAGCTGAAAGGCAAGTTTACATTGTTTCTCTTTATACCCAGTGTAGTCAGTTAGCCAAGTGTCACAGTTTCCTATTCCTGGCTCCACTCTCTTCAGGCTCTTCTCGTGCCTCCTTCCTTGTCCTGCCTTAGTGTTTTCACATGTGTTTAATTAGTGACCACTCCCTCCCAGGTGTTTCTAGTCTTGTCTGCCGTATAAAGCCAGGCGTGCCAGAAATTTTGCTTGTCTCACAGTATGAGCAGCCTTATGAACCGATTTCTCAAAATCGTACCCAAAACCACACACTGTCACAACCACCGCTCCTGCACGGAGGCAAAAAAGTCCACATTTGTGGCACCAGCATCCGTATAAGACGACTTTGCTTCGTTTGACTGAGTTAGAATGCGAGTTTGTCTTCGTAGAGCTGTCTGTAGTGTTCTTCAGCTTCAGTGCACAGTGTGGCACAAGTTAGCAAAACTGTTGTAGCGGTTTGTCAATGGCTGAATCTGGCTTCTACACCAAAATAGTGACTGTTTGTCCAGTATGGAACTGTGCATACATAGCTGAATCTCAGAAGGCAATTTATTAGACATGTGATGCACTTTATGGGTGCAGGAGCAACTATTTTTAGTGGTGCACTATGTAGGGAGCAGGCAGCTATTTGAGATACAGACAGTGTTGTGATTAGGACATCGGAGACGCAGCTTGTTGTTTTGAATGAAGACAGAGCTGTCTGTCGGGGCTGCGTTTCATGTGCACTGTGAGCACCCATGTCGTGTCATGTCAGTCGGACTGAGTGTTTTCGTACAGTATGAGCACATAAATCCCAGGCTTTGGCCGTATACAGTGAGTGCTTCAAATGTACAGTGTGAGCTGTCACCAAAGAACAAGATTTCTAAAATCGCACAGTGTATGCCTGGCTTAAGTAGTCCTCATAGTTCTCTGCTGCTTTGTCTGGCCTCACATTGATTTGATTGATTGAAATGTCTTGAACGCTTTCTGTGTTTTAGTTTTGTAATCACTTTTTTGTTTTTAACTTGCCCATACATTCCCAGAGAAAGATCTTATTGCTCAGATGTTGCCCTTTTATGGCTCAGAAGGCTTAATGTAGATTCTCCTAAAATGTCTTAGTAATAGCATTAGACAAAAAAGGAGATCTGAGATAAAATGGTGCACATAAAAATGATAATAGTTACTCTCAGCATCAAAACTGAGAAGGCTCTTAGTCTTGGATGTGAGATGGATGTGTTCCGGTCTTTAGTTCATTTACAGATAAACATGAGCACTATGTTGGCAAGTCTGAGCACAATACATGACTTTATTGAGATCTCTACTAAAATTTAAGAGGAGACAAATGAGATTACATGGCTCTTTTGCTCGGGAGAAATAACTGAGTAGCAGGAGACTTAAAGTCTCCCTTGTTTTCCATCTAGTCTCATTGTTTTCTAGGAGAAATTACAAAGGTATTAAGGAGATCTTTTTTTATTTTTCTTTCCTATGGGGCCTGCCTCAGCGCCTCCTTTCTGGACACCAACACAAGTTTAATGGCTGAAGTTTGCTTTACTAGTTTTATCAGCACTGGGGCTACAAAGCTAATGTAGCTGACAAGCAATGGAAGCTAATAGCCCATCACATAGCATTGTGGAAAATATATGCCTAAATCATCACAGACTTACCAACAAATCATATTTAGTGATAAAAATATGTTGCATAGTTAAAAACATTGTTACCAGTATTTACAGTAGAAACTCGAAGCCTGACATTTGTCCATAATTTTCCATTTTGTCCCTCAGTTGGTGGGGTGTAAGCTAGTATTATTTTATAGCTATATTAGCTTCCAGTGCAAAACTGAAGAAGCAAACACCAGGCACCAAACTTGTCTTAGCCAATCAGCTATATATGGGTAATTAGGAGATTATGAGAATTTAAAGCTATATTTAATCATCTGTACCTGTAGGATCAAGCTTTCACATGATGTTCTCACTGATGTCCTGCCATTGTCTTATTACTCTTTAATCTGAAAGAGCTGGTTGTGTCATTTCCACCCTCAGAGATCAAAGATAGCTGTGTTTGAGAAGATGTGGTCCTACATGAAGTCTGCAGATCCCTCAGTGTTTGTGAAGACCACTGATGAGGGTGTTGCAAGAGTGAGGAAGTCCAAAGGAAAGTACGCCTATCTGCTGGAGTCCACCATGAACGAGTATATAGAACAACGCAAACCCTGCGACACCATGAAGGTTGGGGGAAACCTAGACTCCAAGGGCTATGGAGTTGCCACTCCCAAAGGATCTGCCTTAAGGTAAATTCGACGTACTTGCTAGTCAAAATCTAAGAGCTCTTCTTTGAAAGTGTCCTTCAAAATGTGATCTTGACGGGTGGAGAGATTACACTGGAAAGAGATATATGTGGTTAGTTCATGATGAAACAGTGAGTTGTTTATATTTGCATTCAAGTAATTCTAGTTATTTATCCCCCAAAAAAATGATTAAACATGAAATTTTAAATTTAATATTGATTTGTCTGCGTATCAAGATAAACAGGCAGAGTGAAGAAAGTAATGCATAAAATATGTTACGTCAACACAATTTTGTCTTTCAGATTACTTACTTTTGGCTTTTTTAGTAATTATGTTTGTGTAATGTTTTATTAATGGGCAAAGAACATACATTTTTGGATCAAGTAAATTCAGTGCATCATTTTTTCAGTGTTTAATGTATGGTTATAATTAAGCATCTGTTAATATGATAGTTTCAACTGACATTTCCTGAGTAAACTCTCTTTGCAGGTGATACTTTGGATTATTTGTGACTGTCCTCATCTATGTCCTGTGAATGAGTGCTATTCATGACACACAATGGAATTTATCCCATCATGTTTTCGTTGTCAAAACTATTAATTTAGAAATTATTAATGTTTTGTGTGTTTTATGTGTAAATGTCACACTGTTTCCACTTTTGTTTATCAAGTCTCTCTAAATTCATTCCATGGTGCAGTCTCATCCCATTCTATCACTGTTCCATCCATGTACTAAACTGTCATTTTTGTTTTCAACATAACCTCACAAATATCATGCAGAATGAAGCTAAATTAATCCCGCTGCTAACAAATTAACATTAGCATGGATTTCTGTGTATCTTTAAAGAGGCAGGGGGCCCAACACAGATAAACAAACTTTGGGACATGCTGAGGTATTAAATTGCAGAATACTTTTCTAGCTGAAATTGCTTGTGGCCTCAGCAAACAACAGTGTATACTTTCAGAATAGCAGTAAATATTCGTCATGCTGTGGAAAGGAGAAATGTTCGACATTTGGAGCAGGGCTTTATGTGTTAATCATTATGGTCATTCATGTCTTTTCACCATGTCTTATTACTGATATGTTGCTTTCAATCACACTGTTTTTCTCCTTTCCTCTCTGCTTGTTAAGGCCAGAGCACACTGACTCAGTGTTCTCCAACAAACACCAACAAACCCAGATGTTAGGTTGGTGTACCATGCCTGTGTTTGATGGATCTATCCATGCTCCACCCACAAATTTGTTAGTTACTGTTGGACAAGCTTTACAGAATGTTAACAAAAATCCCATTAAGCTAAGTGAGAAATTGTACTGCGCAACTTAACATATTTTTTTATCAAAATATGGAAATTTAGGGTGAGAGATTAATTTAAAATATATTTGTTTTGTATGTGTGTGAAAGTAAATGCTCTTAGGGTAGATTGGATGTAGTTTTTTGAAATCTTATCACACTAGTATTAGCATGGTAGCCAATTTGCTGTCCAAAATGCTTTGTTAGCATTTAAATAATACATAGCATTTTAAACTGTGAAGTTCGACCTAAACCTCATTGAGTTAAATGAGATTTTTTCTGGGTTTAATTTAATGCTGTAATAGGACAATGCTGAGTGCCACATTGTGGCAGAGAAATTGAGCAATGCTGGGAGTCACCAAGCACCTAAAGCATATTGCCCAAAAATTCAAAGCCATTGTTTATAATGAAGGTGTACACAACGCTGCCGACATTCAACGTTGACGCATGCCAGCGGTGTGTGCGCCTTCATTAATATGAACATTTGGATGCCGTGTCTGGTGTGTGGAGGTCTTAACTATTACCCATGTCTATTGTGTTGGTGGACAGAGTATGGATAGATCAACTGTTGGTAGATTCTGGAATGTACTCCCTCATTCACTGCTTTATTTGGCCTGTCAGTTCTTATTATGGAACAGTGTAAAGCTGACTGCCTACATCAAATTGTTGGTGTTTGTTGGGGAATACAGGGTCAGTGTGCCATGGCCTTTACCCTTCCTGACAAAGCAACGTATTTCAGAGATTAATGATTATGAATGAAGGCCGGTTTTCTGTTAGTCACCCATGAGCTGACCTCTTTCTGACCCCCTGTCTGGGGCAGGGCTCAGAAAGAGTTCGGAGGTTTTACTGAGAAAGACACTGTTGGCCAGGAGCAGAGCAGACCCATGGTCTGTTTGCTTTCCTTCCCAGCGACACACGCTCTCCGCCACGCAGTGGGAGGGTTTCCCCGTAACGGCACGGAGGCAGGAGCAGATGAAGACTGGGTAAGGGAGGAGCTGGCACATTAAGAATGCTCTGGCACAAGCTGCAAAGAATGAGGGATTTTCTAAAGAATTTATTACTCTTTTCTCTTTTGGCTTGTTACAAGAGAGCAACTTAAAGGCATTGCGATAGATTATCCAAAGCTAATCTGAGGCATACCGCCTTAATCTGGGAGTCCGTTTCCACAGGCCAAAAGGCCATCCCATGATAAAGAGCTTATACCCAGAGCATTGCTAATACCTCCTCTTCCCTTCCCAACAGTCCATGTCTTGCTTGGTAAAATCTGTCACACTTTGGTCACACTTGCATTTTTTATGACATCACAGCACAAGACAACTAAAAAAGTCTTGTAGAGACAGCAGGCACAGTCAGATCAGTTTTAGTTGTAGTTTTATTTATTTATGTATTTGTTTCTTTTTGGCTTGCTTTACTTTGTCTCTTTTTTTAAGACTTGATTCACTTTTTTAATTTCCGACAACCTCTGCCTCGCCGTCCCATTCTCACCACTGACGCTGACCCCAATTATCTTATTATCATTTCAAGAAACCCAGTAAACCTGGCAGTGTTAAAACTGAACGAGCAGGGCCTGTTGGACAAATTGAAAAACAAATGGTGGTACGACAAGGGCGAGTGCGGCAGCGGGGGAGGTGATTCCAAGGTCAGCCCCAGTATGAGCTATCCAGCGGGTAACCACCACGGTGGGGGGTAACCGGCAACAACTGACGCCAAACACTCTGGCACTTCATCTATACTACCATTATTACCATATGTAGTACCCTGTACTATGGGGCTATAACAAGAAGTATTGGCTGTAAAAAACTGCTTATACAAAATTAATAATATATGATTGAGAACATATCAAGATATAAGTGCATATCTGAGTGTTTCCACCACTTGCCGGTTACCCAAAGTGATATAGTAATACACATCTTGCAGTAGGGAGAAAGGCAACAAAGCTAGATGGAGTATTAATGCATATCACTTTGGGAGTGACACTTGATTTCTTCAGACTTTGTGATTGTGCTGTTTTTTCCCTTTGTTTTATCTACTTGTAGACATGTAGAACACATCAGTACATAATTATGGGTGAATGTTATGCTTAAAATGCTGAATAACATAAGATAACATGGGTAATGTTATTTATGTTATTTTCCTGGTTGAAGAATCCCTGTAAACCTAGCAGTGTTGAAGCTCAATGAGCAAGCCGTCTTAGACAAACTGAAAAACAAATGGTGGTACGATAAAGGCGAGTGTGGAAGCAAGGACTCCGGAAGAAAGGTCAGTTCACACGTTGGTGCTTTGCCTCACTCAGAGAATAAGCCTCACTCCCTTATTAAAAAAGGCCCACTCATCCTCTCTGGTACAGCACTGCATGCACTGTCTCCAAACTGCCATTTACCCAAACACAGCCAATACACAAACAGCTTTAGTTTCTCTAATGAGATTTAGTTTCCTTATTGACATTCAAATACAGTAGATAAAGGACCAGGGGGACAGAAGAAGCAATAAATATTTACACATTTACATAATTATGATTATGGGTATCTGTTAATTCTTAATTGTTGTATTTCCCTCAGTGAATGTAGCTACGTCTGGTGTTGTAGCATTAAGCATTTGAAAATAGTCTAGCAACTAAAGTTGGAGCCTACCCTTCATTTATTTCATTTCAAGTCAAAATGGACATCAAATGGAAGTTATTTATTTTTCAGTGTCAGGTAAAAAGCAGGAAACATATATTTACCAGAAAATGTACCAGAATAATCAAATACAGTTTCAGATTTTTCAGTATTTAGCATGTTCTCCATTTGCCTTCACAGCTTACATTCTTTTCAGGAGACCTCCACACCTCCAAAGTTCAGTCTTAGAAGTTGGTTGCATTTTCTGCTCCTCACAATCTAAGTAATCAGAATTGATGTTGGTGGTGGTGGTCTTGTATAGTTGTTTGGTGTCCTGTTTCCACCATATCGTTTACTTTTTTGCAATCCAGTTTTGGAAGCTCCTGTTTTTTGCCCCTTTTTATGTATTATCTCATATCTAGGAGCTGGCCGTTTTGACTGGAATGGAATAAATAAAGGAAGGAATGTCTCTGACTTCTGCAATGTATTGAACTTAACTTACTGCATTGTGGCACATTATAATAGATACCCACAGGCTACCAAATTAGACATAAGACATAAGCACTTCTAAAATCCTGTGAAGCTTATGGGCTGTGAAGCTGATGACTAGATACGCTGTTATAGTCATTCTACTCCATTTTCTTCAAGTCTGGTTACAAACAATTAGGCACTACTTTTAAAAAGATTAGATATCATATTAGTTCTTTGTATTGTTTTATGTACAGTAGTAATTTATACAATGTAAATTTAAATATTATAAACTAGACACAAAAAGGTATTTTTGATTTTTTTCAGTGATTTATTATAATAAATAGTATCTTATTCGAGTGAAAGAAGTTATGAAATAAGTGTGCTGAATTGTCTATTTAGTTACTTTTATTAAGTTATCTGACTCAATATCTAATTACCACTTTTGAAATATAAGCTGCTATGCATGTAAATTTTATTATAACTTTGTTTTCAATGATCTACAACTTTGTCATTTTAGAATCATCTAATCAGCAGCTCTGCTCATCATTCTGAACACGTTTTGTTTTTCTTCCTATCTTCTTACTAATTATTTCAAATTTGTGAAGTTGCATAAGACTAGCATAATAGAATCCCAAATTGTTTTTTATATTTTTGAAAATGTTGAATAGTCCAGTGGTCCAAACTTCTAAACGGTTTTGTAGGTAAAACCTAAATCCTAATATAAATGTGAAAAACAGACCCATGCATCCTTTCCTATACGAGTAAATGACAGTTTGGAGAGACACGCTTTGCTGTGAAATCCCTTTCACTCAATTGCTTTCCCCCCACAGAGGTCCGAAATGCTGTCTATTCTTGTCCATGTCTCAAAGACTATGTGCATGTTGGATGAGACCTTAGTACGGTCACTAAACTCATGCATGCCACTGGCTCCCACCACCCTGATTTGATGTCATGGCCACTGGGGACAGGGAAAGTACTCACAGGGCACCGCAGTGGCCTACGTATGAGATATTATACAATATGTTGTCGTACCAATTGACGTCCCATATAAGGATACTGTAGGTATCTCAAACACAGAGATTAGTTAAACTGTAAAATGGGGATATTATTTAATTAGACATTGGCTATTCCGTAATATTCTGACAGTATATTTACAATATGCAGAAAGTAAAATTCAGCTCTCCAAAGTTCTGGAGACTGATATGTGCGATCCCAGCTTGTGACTTGTGCATGAGTCCGCATGAAAGCTCTAGTTACACCCAGTAATTCAGTCTGTTCAGTAAACCATTTTATCATTCACAGTTGCTTTTATTCATTAAAATCTAATTAACATTAAAGCACAAAGTTATCATCAGATCATAAAGCCAGTAGGCATTTAAATGTAGTTATAATATGTTACTGTATTTGCCTAAGAGCAGTAGGTTTTATGTTATATGTTGCAGTATTTGTAGAAAGAGAAAGGAAGTATGCTCTGTGCTTTTGTGAATGTGTTGGTGTCTGTACTTTGTGTGTGCATGTATGTGGCTGGGAGTGTGTCTGTGTGTGCATATTTATATTGTACAAGTGTATCTCACTGTGTTCTCTGGGCTCTGCAGGATAAGACCAGTGCCCTGAGCCTCAGTAATGTGGCTGGGGTGTTCTACATCCTGATTGGCGGACTGGGGCTGGCCATGCTGGTGGCCTTAGTCGAGTTCTGTTACAAGTCCAGAATTGAGTCTCGGAGAATGAAGGTGCGTAAAGCATGCAGTGTCACTCAAAATGTACATTTTATTATCATTTGTGACTCTTGTGGCATAGAAAGGGTAGATGATATGGCAAAACTATAACATAGGCTTATGTGGACTATTGTACAGCACAGTAAAAATATATATTGCTATATGACCACACAGGCTCTTCCAGTCTTTCAATTTGCAAACAGTTGATTGAAACAGTTCTGATTAGACCCCCACCTCCCATCCATATCTTGTTAGTAATCCATCAGTCTGTCAATCAATGTGAAGTAGTTTCCATAGTTATGAGTGCTTGACTGCTGTCACACAGCCAGCCTGCTTCCTCAAGACAGGAGGGTGTTAGCAGTAGAGAGGTAACTGTGGGCGGGTGTGATACGGTAAGCCCCCCCTACTGTGTCTCTTTTTAATCCTGCAACACACTTCCTTCAAACGCTTCACTTGCCACCACCACAGAAAAATTAGTAAGAATACAGTGACATATTTAGATTCAATTACCCATGGAACCATATGGTGAGTCATAATTTTATTTTAGGTCAGCTGATGGAAAATGGAAAAAAATTAATCTTTTAACCTTGTGTACGCAGTACAGTCCATTTCAGAACATGATTTCTGCCTCTCAAATGGCAACCATTAGCTGTTCCCCCATCATTTAGCGGATTATTGTGATTACAGCAGCACATTGTTCTGGCGCTATATGGTTAGCAGGCTTGTTGTCAGATGCCATTTCATGCCATCTCTCCGGTTCAATCTAAGCGACACAGAGCCTTGATCTGTGCGCGTCTTCACCCGGCTCATCGTAAGTGCCATGTTTAGAATATCAGAGGCGCAAATCGCTGCTGCTAGCAGGCCAATTAGTCTGCATCAGGCCGGGAAACATAATCCTCGGCAATCCACTGAAGTGTGCTGGATTTGAATCATTTATTCGCCAAGGATGTACAAGCCCAACATCCACATCATTAGCTCCCGTTTCAAGCCTACAGGGTTTCATTATGTTAAACTAATGCGAGAGCGAGTGGCTTCCCGGCTAGCACCCGCGTCTTTTATTATTTTGTTATTATTTTTTAAACCGCTACATTATTGTGCAGGGCTGCCCACGTTGACACAAATATACAACTCAAGTGAAATATGGTATTTCATATCGTACGGCCAGTATATTCCAGAGCCAATGGAGGAACAGTAATTAGATTTAATGTAACATAAGATACATAAACAAGAGCTAAGGGCTCCTACAGATTAGTTGCAGTGACTCTGTTTAAGGCCTTATTTTTTCCAGTGAACTTGATACACTCATTGGCCACTTTATTAGGTCCATTTTGTCAGGTATTCTTACCATATGCATGCATTTTGTAGTATTGTAGTCCACTTTCAAGATTTGTATTTTTTTTCATTATGTATGTTGTTGAGAGTGGGCTTTACACATACAACAAATATCAATGCTATGTTTGTATATGATTATACTATAAAAAAATTAATTCCACTTTTAATAGAGAAATGAAAATGTGTTTTTCCATTCATGATAGTAATTATAATAATAATAAGAAGAAGAACTTTATTTTTATTGCTCTTTTCATACTAGTGGCATCTCAAAGTGCTTTACAGAAAAGTGGTAAAGCTTAACAGGAAATTATGAGTATTAAATTAAAATCATTTAAAGCAATGACGTAGATCAAATTAAAAAGATAAATATCAAGAGATGTAGAATTTTAATTAAATGCTAAATTAAAGAGATATGTTTTCACACGTTTCTTGAAAGTGTGCACTGAGCTCGACTGTCTAATAAAAGATAGAATTGAGCTCCACAGTTTAGAAGCATAATAACTGAAACAGGTCTCTCCATGGTTTCTGTATTTTACAGCAAGCATTTGCTGAAGGCCTGTATCTGGAGATCTAAGATCATGTGTTGGAACATAAGCAGATAGATTTTCTCTAATGTAACACAGGTGATTTAAAGACATTTAAAGCTTCAAAAACAAGTAGTGCAGCCAGTACAGTTCTTTCAAAACGCTCTTTTTTGGTTTGTTTTTTTTGTTTGTTTGTTTTTTTTAGGATCTGTACTGCTGCATTTTGTATGAGTTGTAGAGGATGGATTGTTCTCTTAGGAAGCCCAGTAAGAAGAACATTACTGTAATCAACTCCGCTTATCACAAATGCATGATTGCATTCAGATAGAAAAGGCCGAAGTAAAGCAATATTTCTCAAATGGTATAAAGCTACTTTAGTGGCTGTGTTTGCATGTGGGATTAAACAGAGCTCAGAATCTAAGACAAAGATTTCGTACTTCAGGTTTGGTATAGAAAGCGAAAGAGCCTAGCTTATCAAAAAGCAGCTAGAACATTTTGTAGCATTCACCGAGAAATATCCGATACAAAACTGGCAAGCCTGTCTACAGAGTCTTGATTTTCAGAAGGAATTAAAATGTGTAATTGCATGTCATTATCATAGCTATGGAAATTGATATTGTATTTGCTAATGGCATTACCTATTGGTAACATGTACAAAGAGAAAAGCAAAGGCCCTAAACTGAACCTTGTGGGATGTTAATTTTTTTTTTTTTTGGTGAATGATTTCCCAGTGTACCCAAGAACTGTCTATTTATTAAATATGAACACTGACTGTTCTTTTCAAAAAACTTGTTATATCCAAAATTGTTACCAGTATTTGTGCTGTGTTTTGGAATTAAAATGTGTGCATGTTTATGTGTAAAATTGCTGCACAAAAAATAGAAAACATGCTATAACTTTTGCGCAGGCCACATTTTTTTGTAGTATGCTAAATTCAGAAAACAATCAAGTGTTAACTTAGTATCACTTAGAAAATTAACAAAACATGTCAGTTGATCAGGGGTGCATACAACTGTGTATTATCCTGAGAACATATTTATTACACTTTTTACATTTCTTAACTAACAAAGGGAACAATGTGCACAAATTGCTGTTATATACAGTATTTAGTATCCTAGGTTAATACTGTTGGTAACTAAGGTGAGAAGCTAAGCAAAAATGTCTAAATTTATAACTATAATTCATTTGTTTTATTTTTCTCACAACTCAATAAAAATTAAAATGTAATGGAAATGTTTAATGTAATTTTGTTTTCATATCCTGGTTTATTGTTGCCATTTGTTGGTTAGTTTCACAACGACCCATAATTTTCATACTAATTTACAAGTGTTTATTGATTGGTCAGTTGTCATAACGTGCTGTCATTTCACCTCAGAAACACAACCTAATGTCAGAAAATCAATGTCACCTCACATGGATGTTATGTCAAATTGGCATTAAAGTTGACAAAAGCAGCCTTATGACAGATGATGTCTACTGCAGTACACTTAGAACTGTTTATGTAGGTTCACATGTCATGAACTGCTTATGTGGGTGTTATATAGCCTCAGATGTCCTGAAATAAATCAATGCAGTTAGTTGACTAGCAGAATTTTAACTCACCAAGAATGCTATGATCGATTAGTTGACTTGCAGACTTAAAGGGGACAGCCCTAATTCATAGACCTTCTGTAAATGTGGAGTTAATAATGTACTGGTTAGTCTGGTCTGAGCAGCCCTCTGTGATCTATTCTCTGCAGCAAATCATAGATGCGGCCATGCTGGGCTCCACTGTGACCCGAATGGGCAGCGGCGGGGAGAACGGCCGTGTGGTGGCTCACGACTTCCCCAAAGCGGCACAGACTCTGCCCTGCATGGGCCAGGCAGCGGGCATGGGCCTCAGCACCACTGGCATGTAGACGGCACTCATGCACTGCCACCGAGGGGAGAATGAAAGAGATGCTGAAAGCGAGAAGTGTTGCACTGCGACATGCTGTTCACCGGCCACTGAACTACAGCCAACGGACTGATTCCACACTCTGGACTCTTCAAGACGATAGAGCAGGAGGGGCAGAAATCTCTTTTCTAATACAAAGTTTGTTCATTTTTTGAAGCCTATCTGGTGCAATAAGAAGCCTGTGTGGGAGTTTTTGTATGAAGCTTCGTTTTGAGGGACTGAAGAAAGCGGAGGCTGTTTCCCACTCTAAGGATAGTGACACTTGCACTATGTCATTTCTTTCATTTGGCCTTGTTTTATTTTTCAGTTCATTTGATGAGAATGAACCTTGGGTCTGTTTTTTGCTGTTTGCCTGTTTCAAGCCTAAAGGGTTTCAGTATGTTAATGCAAGTTACTTTGTCTGCTAAGCTAAATGGAGAACATTCCAAACCCAGTCATTTCTACATGGTGTTTCCATCCATGAGAAAGAATGATTCATTTCATTCAAAGTGAGTGCTGTGTATAGACGGACGTCACTGAGCATGCCGGGTTTTGATTTGGCAACGCTACCTCGTAGTGTTTCAGTTCCATTACGAGATGTCAAAAGGTCTTCCTCCTTCATTAAACACATTGCCCAAACTTTCCTCCAAAGCACCCTGATAAGATTGTTCTGTAAGAAAACAGGAGCTGATCGCTCAGGCTTGTCATAGCCTTTGCTCAGTCTCACTCTGCCCTGCTGAACATGATGAATCACCTGCTCACAGTCTCTGAGCCGTGATTAGATCTGAGAGAAAGAGCAATCGAGAGAGGGAGAGCGGGGGAGAGACAGCCAGGGACAGAGTTAAGACAAAAGACAGCCAGAAATACTGAAGATGTGCAGCGTAAAAGTGGAAAATGTGGCAAAATGTAACATCATAATACTTGAAAATGTTCACAATACATAATATGTTTAGATTTTCTGAGGTTTGGTTACAAGTTGCAACAGACAAAATGTCAATTTTTGCAAGGATAAATCAATTAAGAGGAACAGAAGGAAAGATAAACACAAATATTCATGCAGTAACATAATGACATAATGTGCTGATGTCCATTGTATGCAGTTATTGTGAATTGGTTGTTGTTTACAGGCTCTCTATAATTGGTCTAAATTTTTTGGATAATGTCCAATGTTCCACAAGTACGGATGATACCTATGTTATCCCCAGAAATGCACGTTATGACATAATGTATCACAACAGCATATCATGTTGCCCACCCCTAATACAGTTGTATACAAACTTTGGGAACTCATGGCGAAACATATTTTGTTGATTTTTGAAGTGCAAAGAAGTAAACACAGCCCCTGCAGCAAACTATCTTCAAAAATATAATTTTCCAAATGTCAGTGCACACTTTCTCACTTCTTATTACTATTTTTATTGTTTTATATTTGAACTTAAAAATTAGAAAACAATAGTAATTTGGCATGTGTAAATGTTTAGGCATTTAAGTACTTAGTAAAACCCTAGGTTGAAAGCTAGGAGTCTTTCTATTCTTGCTTTGGGAATTTTACCCACTCTCTCTTGCAGATATTCTTGGGGTGTCTTGCTTGCACAACATGTCTAAAATCTACCCACAGATTTTCAATGATGTTGAAGTCAGGGGACTGTAAGGGCCATTCCAAGAGCTTCAGCTTGTTTTGGATCATTGTCCTGTTGTAGAAGCCAGGCTTTTTTAGTGTCAAATTCTTGACTCTCAAGAAATTTCTTGACTGTGAATTTGTTGATATTCAGTGGAATCTATTCTTCCATCTACCCATGCAATGTTTCCTTCACTTGGTGCCACACAGCCCCAAACCATAATAGAGGCACCCCTGTGCTTAAGAGTTATCTAGGTGTTCTGTTCATCAAATGCTGCTCCTTTTTTCTCCAAACATGCCTTTGGTGATTGTAGCCAAAGAGTTGTGTTTTTACTTAATCGGTTCACAGCACTTGTTTTCTAAATGCCTCTAGCTTATTTAGATGCTGCTTTCCAAATTTTAGATGCTGATTTTTGGGATAATGTAGCAGGTAAGATGTCCTTCTGATGACTCTTCCATGCAGATCATGTTTGTGCAAGCAAGACTGTACAATAGAATGGTGCACCACCACTCCTCTGTCAGCTAAACCTTCCTGCAGGTCTTTTCTGTCATATGTGGGTTTTATTTCCTGTCATATGGGGGTTTTGCTTTGCCTTGCTGGCCATCACAAGAGCAGTTCTGTCTCAGAGTTTTCTTGATCTTTCAGATCTTGCCTTTATGTCCACAGTTCCCCTTAACTGGCATTTCTTAATGGCAGGTCAGACAGTGGAAATTGTAAGCTGGAAGCATTTTATTTTTTATAGCCTTCATTGTGGGCATCACTCATTTTCAGCTCCTCAGCCAGCCGCTTAGAGGAGATCATGGTTGTTAAGTGTTACCATAAGGTTTGAAGAGTCAGACAGTTATTAGGCTCTGGAATTGTCATCAGCTGGCAATTTTTGACCTGTCTAACCAGCCCTAGCAGGTTCTGAGACCTTACAACTGAAAAGGTGTTCAAACTTTACATATGCAACATTTACTGTTCTTTTGTATTTTTTAAATTAATCATATATAAAAAACTGCATTAACAGTTGCAGACATTTTTAATAGTTTGGCAGAGGTTGCGTTTACTTATTTTCATTTTAAAAAATCAACAAAATATATTTTAATTTGGCCAGGAGTGCATACAACTAAGTAGTCTATTTGAGTTTAAAAGATCAAGCCCTTTTTCCATGTCATTTCATGCCACGCTGTCTTCTGTTCATTATTTACGTCTTTATAAGCGAGTGCTTGTTTACGTCTGCGTCCTTATCACCGTGAGCTGTAAGCGAGGTGGACTGTGCAGAAATATTCATTATGGAGAAAATGCATTTGTTGGAGATAATACAGTACATGGCCATGCACTGGAAACTTCACTGTTTGCGGAAAACCATGAAGAGAGAGAGGGTTAAGCTGAAGTTTTACACTGCTGTTGCAATAGCATGGAAACACATTGGGAAATATCCCTATTAGCAACAGCAGTTGTTTGTGGTTTGACATTAATTTGATGATTTAATGGCTTGCATCTAACAGTGGATTTGAGGGCAGGGAGAGAGAGCAGTGCCATTAGCCTGCTTATTAGCCTGACCGCTATTGCATTTTACAGTCACATTTTATGTGCAGTAAAAAAATATGCTGTAACAAAACATCACATCTGAAAAATGGTAACACCATAAGAGAAGGAAAGTGTTTGTAACAAGATTTTACTGTTACTATTGGTCCATTTGTCATGACATGTAAAGGACAGCATTTTTTTCAAATGATGGAAAAAATTTACATAGGGAAAAATTAGGATCTGGGGAAAAGTTTTGATCTGACAGCACTGATACATCATAATTAGGACTGCATAATGTGGACAAAATATTAGTATTGCAATGATATTGCTACACATTGTGAAATTGTGAAATATCTTAAAGTACATTAAAAAGACATTGGTGCGTCATTAACTTAATTTGCCTTTATTTTCACCAAAATAAATTATGTCTGTTACTACAATTTCTTTGATTATTCAAAATGTCCACATAAGCACTCATGTGGAACTGTGATTGGCCAAGATGATCACAATACAGTAAAATCATTCTGGGCTGGGTTTCCCAAAAGCATCTTGTCACAAACATTATACATGTATGGTAGAGTGAGCATCACACTGAACACTCTCCCTACCAGTCAAGATGATCTTAACTCCCAGATACTTTTGGGAATCTGGGTCCTGATTGGTTAGAGGGCTCATTTGCTCAGTTTGATAATGATCATATTGTGTAGCCATAATAATAATACAATTAAAACAGACACACAGGCTGATAAACAATGTGCCTACACTTGTGTTCTTCACAACAGTGATGCACCTCAGACCAAACTCTTGAAGAAGTCAAATTTTATAAGTTTTGCCTGTTAGTGCTAACTCGCTCATGTATCTGTTTGTTCCTGATAAAGTTCTGCTGTCCTGCTTGGTGTCCTGAATGGCGTGATGCTACCAACTCTGAAATGCAGCTGAATCAGGCTGATTCTGTCAGAGTTGTACTAGATCTGTCCTGTCACGTTGTACCGTTCTGAAACAGGATGACCAGAAAGTCGCTGTAAAGCACAAGAATAAATTTTTGCACAACAGCAATGTCACATCACCCCTCCGGCGCAAGCATCTGCTGCGTGTTGGTTTGATGTTTTTGTCGGGGCTAAGGCATCAGCTTCCGTCTGTATGTTTCCTCAATAAGCTCTATGGCGTGGTACAGTGGGGCGAAGTGTTCACAATACCTACAGTACTGATCATTTTTATACCTGAAGTGATTTGTAAAAAAAAATAAATGAATTCACTTTTTAAAAAAATGAATACATGATTAAAACGACAAGGGAAAAAATGATTGACCTTAATATGATGTGATACATTTGTGCTGAAAAACAGATGCTTTTATTGTTTTGCATTTGATAGATGATTAATTTAGTATGTTACGTTCAAATTTATTTATTTTCTTGTATTTATGGTGAAATTTTTGTCCTGTATATTGTTTCTTTTTGCTTTGACACAGTAGATTTCCTTTCAGAGCAGTCTGTTCCATTTTATTCGCATCAGTCTCACGAAATACCTTTCAGAAAAAGAGAGGAGGATGTGACTCGAGTTCTGAAATTGAAAACATGTCGACTAGGAGTGCGCAGAAATAAACTTTTCTAACCACACTGTTGGGTGTCTCGCTTTCTCTCATGTATGTTTGCACAAGTGGTGTGAAATCGAATTCACAGTGGTAATTCTAGCACAATTCTTGCTTTTAAAAATCCTTTCAGATTGGATTGCGGCTTGGTGCTGGGGGGTTATGAGGATCACTCGAGCTCATTTACTCACTATTGTGGCTTTCTGTTTTACCTTCTCCTCTCCTGCAGCTCAATCTAACAGGAGAACAGATGAATTTATCCCCACCGCTGTGCCGCATTGATATAAAACAACTATTCACGGGACCTTTGTGCTCCGCCAGTTCTTTCTGTTGCCTCTCGGAGCGCAGTATCGATCTCAATAAATGCCACATTTGTTCTCTCTCTTTTATTTCCCCCATAGGCCTGGCCTTTCCAGACAAGCCGCTTGGCGAAAAAATAGCCCGCTCTCACTCAAAGTCAATCACAAGAAAGTGCCAGAGGCTTTCATGTGTTGCAGTGTTCAATAACGCAGCTCTGTCTGGAGGTGGCTAAATCCGTGCCTGTGGATATGCATTTGTCTCAAATACATGAATACACCTAGACACGTTGTTATTTTGATATACCTACACATATTGCTCTGCCCAAGGCGATGGAGTGAGTGTATCATTCCTTTCTCTCACTACACCACTGCTGTGGGATCTGCAAGTTTGTGCTTTGATTGTGAAGATGAGATTTCATCAGTCAAACTACACAGAAGCTTCACGTTCCATTTATGTCAATAGAAATACTGTAGATCACACCAGCAGTGGCAAATAACTGTCAGACTCTTCAGGTGTGTTTTAATGCTCTGAAATGTAAGAACGGATTTTAATATCTCTATAATATCTCTTCCAAAATAACTGCAATCAGAATCGTTTCTCTTACTCAACGTCTATATGCCATCCTAAATCTGCATCGACTAAATTCCAGCTGCATTTTTTCTTTCAGTGCCTTTCCCACCACGTCCTTCCTCAAAGAAGCTGGCGTGTGTGTGTGTGTGTGTGTGTGTGTCAAAGCCACGATCTTGATCTTTGAAACTTAAGTGTGTAAGATTATGATTCAGAAAAGACAAAGTGTCACCTTGGATTTAGACTTGCAAATTTTTCCCATCACACATAATCATACATAACCTAATATTGCCATATCCTCAGATCAGATTTCCATGACTTATATGACTTTTAAAAAATCTTATTAAACACATCCTTATTCAATATGCCAACACGTTGCAAAACACCACACCAAGGAAAGTTTTTTTAGAAATACAAACCTAATTTCCAAAAAGGTTGGAACAGTATGTGAAATGTTAATAAGACAGAAAGCAGTGATTAGTAAAGTCTATATTAAACTTAATATATACTTAATATATAGTGGTCAGGACCCCTATGGACCCTCACAGAGCAGGTACTATTTGGGTGGTGGATCATTCTCAGCACTGCAGTAAAACTGATGTGGTGGTGGTGTGTTAGTGTGTGTTGCGCTGGTCTGAGTGGATCAGACACAGCAGTGCTACTGGAGTTTTAAACACCTCATTGTCACTGCTGGACTGAGAATAGTCCACCAACCAAAAATATCCAGCCAACAGCATCCTGTGGGCAGGGTCCTGTGACCAATGATGAAGGACTAGAGGATGACCAACACAAACTGTACAGCAGCAGATGAGCTATCGTCTCTGACTTCACATCTACAAGGTGGACTGACAAGGTAGGCGTGGAAAAAAAGCAGTGGACAGTGAGTGGACTCACTCCAACTCCAACTCCAAGAATTGTTCTCAGCACTGCAGCGACACTGACACGACAGCAGCGTGTTAGTGTGTGTTGCGCTGGTACAAGTGGATCAGACACAGCAGTGCTGCTGGAGTTTTTAAACACTTACTGCTGAGTATCACTGCTGGACTGAGAATAGTCCACCAACCAGAAAATATCTAACCCACAGCGTCCTGTGGGCAGCCTGCTGGACCACTGATGAAGGATTGGGGAAGACCAACGCAAACTGGGCAGCAACACATGAGCTATTGTCTCTAACTACATCTACAAAATGGACCAACAAGGTAGGTGTGTCTAACAGAGTGGACAGTGAGTGTTTAAAAACTCCAGCAGCACTACTGTGTCTGATCCACTTGTACAAACACTAACATAAAACTACGTCATTGTCACTGCAGTGCTGAGAATAATCCAGGGGATAACAAAATATGCAGAGAAACAGATGGACTACAGTCTGTAACTGTAAAACTACAAAATGTTCCTGTACGGTAAATGGAGCTAATAAAATGGTAATACTATGTTTGATTCCTGCAAAATGTTCCAAAAAAGTTGGGACAGGAGCATGTTTACCACTGTTACATTATGTTACCATTTAGCAACACTTCATAATCATTGGAATTTTTTGACATCCAAAGTCTTCAGCTGTGCAATCGCATGGTGCCTGTATTGTCATATTTTGCTTCACAATGCCACACATTTTCAATGGGAGACAGTTCTAGCCAGTCTAGCACCCACATTCTCTGATTACGCAGCCATGTGTAACACGTCCAGAATGTGGCTTGTTGCCGTCATGATGAAATAAGCATAGATGTCCCTGAAATAGACACTGTCTACAAGGCAGCATATTCTGCTGCCTTCTACACGATATATCATGATGTGTATATTGTGTCATATGACATATACACGTGATAAAAAATGTGTAGATATTAGTTTGAAAGGTGTAGATTTACAGATGTGCAGGTTACAGATGTCATATGCACTAATACCCGCCATAAAATGACAGCCCCTGACTTCTGAACTTTAAGCTGCTAACAATTTGGATGGTCCTTTTCTTCTTTGGCCAATAAAACACAATGCCATTATTTCCATGAACAATCTGAAATGTTGACTCTTCAGACCACAATACATGTTTCCACTGTGCCTCCTTTCAGATGAGCTTGAGCCCAGAGAGGTTGGCAACGTTTCTGGACATTGTTGACATATGGCTTCCACAATGCATAGTACAGTTTTAACTTGATGCATGCATTGAGTCCATGTGGTGATATCCATCACAGAAACATGTCAGTTAGTAATGCAGTCCAAAGGATCAAAGATCACGGGCATTTAGCTGTATCTTTCCCTTTACATACAGAGATTTCTCCAGATTTCCTGACTCTTTTGATGACATTATGCAATGTAAACAGGGAAATACCTAAAATCACTTGTTGAACAATGCTGTTTTTAAACTGTTGGATTATTTGCTGATGCAATTTTGGCAAAGTGGAGAGATGTGATCCACCTTAGCTTATTAAGGACCAGGCCTTTCCCGCATGCTCCTTTTATACCCAAATGTAATGGCATCATCAAGTTAAAAATTAAAATTTTAGTTTTATTTGCATTTCACTTACCGTTCCAGCTTTTTTGTAACTGAGGTTTGTAAATTCATTAATTCCATTTTTCGGCCTCTTTTTCACATCCGCTTTCCAACAATGAAATGCACCCAGTTCAGAGAGCCACAGCCTGGGGGCCACCGCAGGAGCTTTTCCTTTGCTCACCGCATATCATAACACACAAATTAATCAGTCATAATCCACAGAGACGTGCTTAGTGGAAGCTACCTCTCTGTAATTAAGCTTCTTCCATTCATTACACGCAGTGTTCTCTCATTAAAAACTTTCTCAAGTACTCATGTCATGACACAAAGGTGAGAGCAGTACAAGGAACCTTTACATCACCCCAGTGTTTCTGCACTCACAGGCCTAATCACAGACAATACCTCTGCTAAGATAACTATACAGTACACTGACATAACAGTGTTGAGAATAACATGAAAGAGAATCAGTAATTTATGGTCACTGAGTGCAAAAAAATGAACAGAATTGTAGTGTGACAGCATCTATTAGCAACAGGTTAGCAGCACTTCTCTTCCTTTGTTTTCTGAGAGGTTGGTCACTGGAAACCTCAAATGTAGGCAGCTGCTGGTAGTAAAGCCATTTAAGGCACTTCCATGAACATTTCCCTTCCTCAGTAATGATAAAATATTCATATTTCATTGTATAAACATGACAAACGGGAATCTGAGCCAAGATATTTTACACTGAGCAATGAAATTAGCCATTGCTAACAACAGGTAGCAGCACGGTGGCGCAGTGGGTAGCGCTGTCGCCTCACAGCAAGAAGGGCCTGGGTTCGATTCCCAGCCGGTCGACCAGGGTCATTTCTGTGTGGAGTTTGCATGTTCTCCCCGTGTCTGCGTGGGTTTCCTCCGGGTACTCCGGTTTCCTCCCACAGTCCAAAGACATGCAGTCAGGCCAATTGGAAATGCTGAATTGCCCCTAGGTGTGAATGTGTGTGTGATTGTATATGTCTGTCTGTCTGCCCTGTCCAGGGTGTATCCTGCCTTCCGCCCAATGACAGCTGGGATAGGCTCCAGCACCCCACCGCGACCCAGAAGGATAAGTGGTTTAGATGATGTATGTATGTATGTATAACAACAGGTAGATACCAGTCATTCATTCAGTAAAAGTAAATCAAACATGATTTGCTAATGGAATTACAACTAAAAAGACAAGATGTAAATAACAGGTACACCATATTAATGTTCATTTCACTACTTAGTGAAGTGGTTATGCTAATGATGGCCTGTATTGATGAAGCTTCTCAGATTAGCAGATCTAGGATCTGTTCCAGTCAGTAAAGTCAAAGTGAATAAGACATGAATCTGATCCTAAATCAGCACTCCTACTCTTTGTGAATATAGGCCAATTAAGGTAAAGGGGCCATATATATATATATATATATATATATATATATATATATTAGGGGTGCAGGAAAAAAACGATTCTTAGATGCATCGTGATGCAGACGTGGACGATTCTGAATTGATTCACAAATGTCAAAAATCGATTTTCTAAATATTTAATTATAACGTAATGACGGAACGCAAAAGGCAGAACTTGGAAGTGCGGAAGAGCAGCGCCCGGACAGTCTGTGGCGGCGCATAACAAAAACACAACTGGATGATAAGAAGAGCCATTTTGTCCTTTAACA